AGCAGGAATCTCTCCTGATTTCAATGATCTTTGAACAGCTTTAACTACAACTTTTGTTGTGATATAAACCAATATATGCCATGAGATTTACATAGGAGAATATGGTCTTATTTTTAACATAAACTCTTTTCCCAGGACTCTTGGACTTGAAGACACAGTCATTCTAAAATTCTTGTTTTCTCTTAGTTTTCATTGACAGCATTACCTATTTTTAGGTGACTTAACAAAATCTATTGAAATCCTTCAGTACCCATTATCCCCTAAAATAAACTTCATAACAATAATAAAAAAGTATGAAGGTTACAATTTGTATTCCTAGGACACTGTTTGCTTCTTTATTTAATTATTCATGACTTAATGACCTCCTCTTGCTTTTGTGAGAAACAGGTGGAGTTTTATTCAGATCTTCGTTCTTCTTTACCTCCTGAACAAGGCTGAACAAGGCTACATAGGAAATGGAGGAAGATTGTTCTGCAGAAAAGGAAAATAGCTTGTAGCAGACTAATCTTTCTCTCCTCAAGTCTGATTTTCCATGAAGAGTCTTGCCATATTATAATGGATGGAACTTTGCACTGTTTCAGAACAATGAAGAAAGCACCTGATTTTAGGATTGATTCCAAGTAAAGACACAATATATTTACTTTTGTGCCAATTTGGAAATAAGTTCTCCTCAATTTTTATTTTAAAAGTATCTGATTAACTACCAGAAGATACATGAAACCAGAAGAAACACAAATTTGCTAAATGTACCTCACCCAGGAAAAATAGAACAGTTACTTTTTAAATCCTTTTTTTTAATAAATGAGCATTCATTCATCAACATTTTCATATATTGTCCCTTCATTATTCAATTTTTGATGGTTTATTCCCACTCCTGAATAATACCAACAATACATAAATGTGCCATAAGTAGAAAAAAAAGCATAGATTGCAGTTTATCTTTACAATGGGATAAAATCAACTTAGAGCTACTCACAATAATATTCCTAATGAATGATGCCAAAATGACATTTGTTATATTCTGAAGTAGAAAAGGGCTAACTAACTATGGAAACCTAGTTATGGAATGAATTACTCTGGTGTAAAGCAGTTAGAATTATTGTTGTTATTATTAAAAGTTTAAAATCACTGATAGGTATATAACATTCAGGACCTGGCATAAGCTGACAAAAGCCAGAAAATGTAAAGTTAAGATAAGCTTGTTCTTAGCATGCTGCGTGTGTCTGTGATGGGGCTAGAAGAAGACAGAGAAAAGGCACGAAGGTGTGAGTTTAGGAGAGTGTTAGCCTTAATTTAGAATTTGCTGGCTTTTGTCAGGTTTCAAAATACTGTGCAGAGTATGAAGTATGTATATCCCACAACATTGGGCAAGGCTTATGTGAAGAAAATTCTGTGAAATGTCCACCAATTTAGTATACATACTTTGGAGGGACCCCCCCCCCCCCCCCCCCCCCCAAAAAGAAGAAAAAAGCATAATGAGCAAGTGGAACCAGCCCCCATTTCAAGTCAATGGAAAGACCAACAGTTACTTCAACAGGGCTTGAACTGGTCATTTTTCTGAAACAAAGAGGACTAGAAAAGTTCCTGCTTTTTAAAATGAAAGCTAGCATTTGTATCTGGTCACATCACTCTAAGTGCTAAGCCTTTAGGAGGAAATACAGAGACTAGCACTAAAATCATGGGAGTTGGCCATGCACTTGTGCTCAGCAACTGTCATATCTGGCCCCTCTGAAAAAGCAATCTAATCCAGTTATTCCTTCTGACATAACCTACTCAAAGGGTGCTTTATATATGTCATTTTTCTAATGAAAAACCATTGAAACTTACATATTTTAATCAAAATGCTTGCTTAATTTTAGGGTAGAAAGTCAATGAAGGCTTGTAAAAACCCTATTAAGTAAGTGCTTTTAGTGATTTAAAGATTTAAATGAATGTATGACTATAATGTCATGAAGCTTATGATCTAATCCATTCTCAGTCTGAAAATGATTGAGCTATTATGAATCTCAAAATACAATTATGATCTAGCATGGCAATTTATATTGGGGAATTTTAAACAAAAGTTAATTTTTTTCAAGCCAATAATGGCAGCTCTTTTGGTGCTTTTAATGCTATGTTGTTGATATACATTACCATTGCTTGAGTACCACAGTGATAGTTGCTCTGAATACCCCACCCTAGACAAATATGTGGGAACATAAATGTGCTGATCCCACAAACACTTGCACACATGCATAACCTTTTACCTACACAAATCATGGCAATTGAGAATTAAAGTACAGCTTTTCTGCAAGGTCCTTGCATAGGACAGGATCTTGTTGTACAGTCCTACTCATGACTTACAGGAAACATTTCAATAATACCAAGATGAGTCCAAGAATCAGATGCTAGTTCAGATCTTGCATCCTGAGATTTTGTATGTTGAATTTTAGCCCAGAACAAAGTTTATCAGTTTGCTCCAAGTAATTCTGTACCTTGCAGCAAATTAGAATCAAAACATTGAAAGACCTTACACTGTAGCAGCACAATACTGTAGCACAAATACTACTTACAGACAAATCAGATATTACTGAGGGTACAGGGTATGTTGGATCAAAGGCAGCCTTTTCAAGTTCATCCCATTTTGCTTTTGTTTGGCAGTTGCATATCCACACATTTTTCCTCCAAGCATGTCTCTGGATAATGCCAAAAACTGGAGTCTTCCCACCACCAAGTCCCCTTGAAATTCCACATGGATGAAGAGAACTGGCAGAACCATGCTTGCATCTCCTTTTTACACCTGCACCTCCTCCTGTCCTTGGTTCAATGCGTGAATGTTTGTGGTAGAAACATTGTTTACAAAAAATATATCTTTTTTTTCTTTAGAAAGATCTAGTTATGATAAATAACAGTTAAGTTTACAGTTTTGAACTGGCCTACCTTTACTACTAGAGCTACAATATTGGAATACTGAATACTGATGAGGGGATGAACTGGAATGAAAACAAAAGTGGTCATATTTGCATAAAGAAAATGACTGAACATATTTAATTCTAAAACAAGACAAGTTTGTTATTGTTTGTGATTTGTGACTTCAGAATACTGGCCGCATGAGTGTCCAGATACATACTGTGTGTATGTAAATAAAATATGAAAATGGTCTCTTGTTGAATTGGAGTAGTAGAAATGCTCTATTTCTTTAAGTCTAGATAATAAAAAGTTGTAACTTCACAAAAACAAAAATATGACACAGCATGCAGTCACAACAGCAAGCACAAAAAAGAAAAATCCTGATAAAATATACTTATATGTGCATATTATGCAAATATATTTTACAGTAACATACAATGTTATAAGACTGTTTGACAAAACAAATGCAAGTTTAAAAAAGAAAATAGCTAGATGGTTCCATGTTGAGTAGCAAGTAACCTGAGATGTCTTCTATGTTTTTACTGGAATAATGATCTTTAAAATCTATAGTGGATGCAGAATATGTTGGCAATCATTGAATTCTTAACTACATTGCACTAAAAATGTGTTGTTCTCTGTCAAAATGGCATGGTAGTTGAAACCAGTCCAAATGCAGCAAAATGCACTGTACCTTTTAGTACCTACCAAGATTCCTTCCGGTGCAAATGGATATTTGAAATGGATGTTTGGAAGTATTATGAACACATGCATATCTCCAAAACACTACAGCAGTACCTTTCTTGTGACCAGGCTTACTTACTGCACAACAGAAAATAAGTGATCATAGAAGACTGCTAATCTAATACAACATAAAAAACAAACAACAAAAAATATTAGCACGGAAAATAAATTTGGTGTGATGAAATTAACATTGATGCTATGCAATTTTAATGACCTATCTGAAACTAACTAATGTAACTATATCACTTTCTGATTAGTGTGTATGGCAGCATTTACAAATAATGTTTTTGAATACTGATTTTATATATGAGGACAGCTGTTTGAAAACTTCAATGACACACAATGTTTTGTGATGATATTATACAATACTTACTTTCTCAAGGCTTAATATTTTGAGGACACCTGTTTTTCAATTTAAAAAAATCCTCTGATGTGCATTCTATGATAAATTGTCCATAATCTCAGAATGAATATGAACATGTGTGCATATACATATAGTGTATATTTCTATGCACCCTCCCACAATATATGTATACACACATACATGTGTATTTTATATATATAATAAAAGTTCATATATATATAAATATATATAAACTTGACAGGCAGAGTAATATTTCACTTATTGTAATTGAAGTCCTTTAAAAAAGTTCAGTCACTCAGTTAACATAGTATAGCCAGTAAATTAAGTTGAAAAGAGAAAATGTGAACGGAAACACCATCCTTGACCATCTGTCTATGGCATTCACATCAGTTAGATCAGGGATTTTTATTTTCATTTGTGAAGACCTTCTTCGTAAATGACCCCTCTTGCTGTGGGGGCCCGTTCTGTCCATTGTACGCCTTCCAAAGCTTTCCCGATGTGAGCTGTGTTTTCTGTACTGGATTCCTGAGTTGTCAAAGGACATTGTTGAATTTCTAGCATCAGTAACACTAGTTGTAACTTCATTGCTTGCTACCTCGTTGTGGATTTCAAGCGATGTTAGCAAAATATTTCCATGGGTATCCACCTAAGTTGGTAGAAAGAAAAAATGGGACATTAGAATTTCAGAATTGTTTTCATGTGTCAATAAAATTCAAATTCATGGATGTCCCAAATCAACAAATCATATGTCTAACTGTAAACATATGAATTACTCCTTTCAAAGCATACTCTGTTGGTTAAACTTGATACTTAAATGGTTTGCTGGACTGGGATCAGAATCATGCTAAAAGCATATGATGCAAAAACAACACATTATGCACTGTCAGACACCTTTTTCCCTCCAAAAAAACCTGCCTTTTACAGGATTAGGTATAAATTAGTGTTTTATCTGCACTGCTGGGGAGGAGAAAAACAACACATTGACAGCACTTCCACTATAGGAAATTAAATACATTGAAAGAGTCTTCCACACTAGAATTATTATTGTTATTACCAGAAAAATAAACTGCTCATAAAATAAGAAGAAATGCACAAAAGCAAGGAACACTTCAGCTTTGCTGAAATGTTTCTACAGGTATCCTGAACTCTTTGCTTTTGAAACTTTTTTACAACTTTTCAGCTCTTCAATCCAGAGACAATATACCTTTTGACAATTAAGCCAAAAAACAAGCCTCACCCACTCATTCTTAATATTTAGGCAATATGAACAACTACAGCAGTAGTACTCAACATAACTGGCTCCATGGACTGGAAGAGTGGTGCAGGGCTGTTCTGTGGGCCAGATCCAGTATGCAGGATCAGTCCATGGGCCTGATCCAGCATGGGGTCAGTGTGCAGGGTTGGTGTGTGGGTGCAATTCTGTGTGCCAGCCTTGCCCTGCATGCTGGCCTGATTCTGCATGCTGCCCCAATCTCATGCACCTGATACAGCTGTGTGCTAACCCAATCCCATGTGCAGGATCCAGCCATAGGGTGTCACATATAGTACTATAGTGCTCTCCATGGGTCCTGAAATTTTGCAGCAGGGGAGCTATAGCAGTGTTAACTGCTGTGGCTCTGGGAGCTGTGACAGTTAACACTGCCACTGCCCTCCCACTGTCACAGGTGGCATAGTGCTACTGCTCCCCTACCACCAGTGGCGATGTGTAGGGGGTGCACGGGGGTGCACATGCACCCCATGAGAGGACCAGTGCACCCCCTGACTAGCTGCGCTCGCTGCTCAGGTGATGGGGGTGGGGGGTGGCAGGGAGGCAGGCTGGAGTTCCAGTGTCCCACATGCAAGCGCCAGCCAGGGAGTGGAGAGCTCCTGTGCTCCCAGAAGTGGCTGCAGTGATTAGCTGCAGCGATCAGTCATCTCGCAATCAGCTGCGGAGGATCCCCCCTGGTGAGCAAGATTGGCCAATGTGGGACACCCCCTGCCGGTCGGTGACTGTTCGCTGTGGGGGACATGTGCCCCCGCTGACTAAGGTGGCACCAGTCGCCCATGCCCACCACCAAATGGACCTGTGGGTATACCCATACACCAGATGGCATGATTCTATGATCCAGATCTGGCCTTTGGGTTGGAGTTTGAGCACCACTGGCTTAGAGGGGTCTTGAGCATGTCTGGGTCAGGTATTTAGAATCCCTTTAACCTGCCTATGCAGCTTAATTGTAGGCTTGGGCAGCAGATGGGTAGGGCTTGTTTCTCTTTGGCAATCTGGACACAGTCAAAAGGAATAGTAAAGTGATGCAGGAGGAAGAGCTAGTAAATTCAGTCAATAGGTATTACTTTCTCCTTTAAGACTGTATTAAGACAATGAAAAACATGGCCTTGGAGGTAATATGCTCTTGGGAGGTGCTGCCTTTTCTGATGAATTATGAAAAAAGGATCTGATCATTTTTGCTTGTGAAAATATCCTGCTCCAGATCAGCTGCTTCATTTGAACACTACAGAGCCGTAGGTAGTCAGGTGTCCCTCCTTTCTAGCCTCAGCCCTCCCATCTGACTAACAGCTCTGGTGTCCAAGCCTCATGGATTTTGTATCAGCAGATAATTGAGCCCACTCAAAGTCCACAAATTGCACTCCTTCATAGGATCCTAGGAAAGTAGAGCTGGAAGCAACCTCACAAGATCATCTAGACCAGACCTTTGATCAACAGAGGATCATTCCAGACTAAACCATCTGAGCCAAATATCTAATCTACTCTTGAAAACTTCCAAGGATGGAGATTCCACAACTTCTCTAGTTAGCCTGTTCCAGTGCTTGACCACCCTCATAGTCAGAAAGTTTTTCCTAAACTCCAACATAAATTTCCCTTGCTGCAGCTTGACACGGTTGCTCCCAGTCCTATCCCCTACAACCATAGAGAAAAGCTCATCTCCATCCTTTCTATAAATACCTTTAGGTATTTAAAGACTGTTATCAAGCCCCCTCTCAATCTTCTCCAGATTAAATAGCCCTAGTTCTTCCAGCCATTCCTCACAAGTCTTGCTTCCCAGGCTCCTAATCATTTCTATTGATCTTTGCTGTACTCTGTCCAAACTGTTCACATCTTCTTGAAGTGTGGGGTGCAAAACTGGACACAGTACTCTATGTGAGGTCACACCAGTACTGAACAGAGCAGAAGAATCACCTCCTTTGAGTTAAAAGTGACACTCCTGCTGATACAACCCAGTATGTTGTTGGCTTTTTTGCAACAAGAGCACACTGTTGGTTCATATTCAGCTTATGGTCTACTGCAAGGACCCCCAGGGCTTTTCTGAAGTACTGCATTCTAGCTAGTCATTCCCCAGTCTACTTGTGCATGCAATGCTCCTGTCCCAAGTTCAGGACTTTTCGCTTGTTCTTGTTGAACCTCAACTGATTGATTGCAGACCATTTCTCCAGTGCATTCAGGTCCTTCTGGATGTGGGCTGCCTGGTCTGGATACTATCCTCCAGAGTATCTGCAACTCCACCCTATTTGGTGTCATTCACAAAGTTGCTAATTGTGCACTTGTCTAAATCATTAATGAAGATATTAAACAATACTGGACCTAGGAATGACCCTTAGGGAATCTCACTTGATACCTCCTCCCAACTAGACATTGTGACATTGATAACTAAACATTAAATAGGATGATCCAACCAGTTATGTATCCACTTTACAGTACTTTCATCTAATCTGTATTTCCTTAACTTATTAATGAAAATGTCATGGTACACAAGTGTCAAAAGCCTTGCTAAAGTCAAGGTATATGACATCCACTCTTCCCTCAACAACCACAGAGCCTGTCACATAATCAGAAAGAAATCTGGTTGGTCAGATTTGCTCTTGGTGAATCTGTGCTGGCTGTTCCTGATCACTTTGTTGTCCCCTAGGTGCTTCACACCAGAGTCCTTGAACAACTGCTCCATCATCTTTCCAGGTATCAAGGTCAGCCTGACTGGTCTGTAGTCCCTCAGATCTTCCACCTTCCCTTTCTTAAAGATGGGCACTATGTTTACTCTTTTCCAATCATCTAGGACCTCTCCTGATTGCTCTTTCCCAGTAATCCGGGACCTCACCCAACTTCCATGAGTTCTAAAAGAAGATAGCCAATAGCTCTGAAATGACCTCAACCCATTCCTTCAGTATCCTAGGGCACATGCCATCTTGTCCTGCTGACTTGAAAGCACCTAGCTTTTTTAAGCAATCCCTAACCTGTTCTACTACTCTAGGCTCCTTACCTATCTTTGCTGCCAACCACACACATCATGTGGTACCTCCACCCATGTATGTGAAGACTGAAGTAAAAAAGGCATCACATACTTTAGCTTTCTCTGCACCACTCATAAATAGATTGCCTTTTGCATTCTGTAAGGGACCTGTGGTTTCTCTGATCTTTTCTTGCTTTTGACATTTTTGCAGAATTCTCTCTCTCTTTGGTTTTTTTTATTTTTTGCCTTTTATGTCCCTTGCTAGCTGCATCTAAAATCATGTCTTGGCCTTGTCTTTCTTCCTGAAAGTCCATGCAATACTCTTATACTCTTCTCTAGTGCCATGACTAAGTTTTCACTTTTTTACAGAATTTCTTTTTTGAGTTTCAACTGATTTAAGAGATTGCTCTCTAGCCAAGTGGGTCTCCTGTTGCACTTCCCATTCTTCCATCACATCAGGATAGCTTGCTCCTGTGCCCGTTAAGATGGCCTCCTTAAAGCAGAGTCACCTCTTGGACTCCTCTTCTCCTCAGACTTTCCTCCCAGAGGATCCTGTCCACCAGTTTCCTGAGTTTGCTAAAGTCTGATTTTCTGAGGTCCTGTGTCCTTATTCTGCTGCTCTACTTGCTTTGTTCCCTAATCTGTTCCTTCCTTTTCCTTATGCTAGATTTGGGAACCATTTCTGATCTTTCTGGCAACTGTCGGCCAATGGAATGCATCAACAGATGTCAAAAATGCTCTGCTGGCCATTTTCGGCCAATTTAAGAATATTTTGCTTTCTTTGAGTGACTTTGGCTTTCCATGAAAAATGGTATAAGCATATTATGTTAATGCTAGTGTTTAGGGTAATTTCCAGTTCCTATTATTTAATTTTCACATCTAAAATTCATCCTTCTAAATTGTTTTTTACTTTCCACCCTAAACTGCTGAGTGCAGTGAGACCTCTCTGCTCCAGAAGTGACTGCATTTCAGTAATGGATGAAGTGATCTTGCACTATGGAGCTTTAGAGCTTTAACAATCATCTGGGAAGTACTTTGCAAGCCCTGAATGATGTATTAAAAGCATAGGTATAGATATTTCTCTGTACATGTGCATTTAGCTTATTTCGTTCTTGTTAAAAATTAATGTGAAATGGATATTTCATTCATGAGTTACAGATGCTACAATGTATTTTTCCCAGTGAAAACAATCATGACATAGTAGAACTAATGTTTTGTGAAGTTGAATACAAACAAGATACAAATATATAGTTCTGAGAATAAAAATCAGGCAAATAAAAAAGCAAACCATTGAAGGCAATTCCATATTTTTGTAACGGGTGCCTATAAATAATATTATTAAAAAACTCAAGCTAAATTGACTTAGTAGGCTTCAGAAGCCAAAGGGCTGGTTAAAAAGAATAGTTTTTCACTACAGTAGCGAGCT